AGATGGGAAACTCGGAAGGTAATTGAAAAGAAAAAGCCTAAGGCAAAGAGACAAGGAGATGGGGGTGAGGAGGTAAACATGGAGAGGAGGGTGGAACGTGCGCCGGAGTTGTGGCTTGGGGCGCGCCCACTGAGCGGCGAGGGATGCTACTGATGGACGTGTCTGACATTGCACTAACAAGCAGCCCTGAGAGTGCACAGTGCACTAAAATCACATGTGAAAACATAATGCACAGCACACAAACAATTTACGGTATTTATATCTCTGTGAGAACCCTACACCGCACGCAGTCTGGAGGGTCTATAACCATATATATATATATACATATACACACACACACACACACACACACGTATGCTGTGGTTAGTTCTTAGTGCGCTTACACTCTTCAACATCATATCAACAAAAACCTACCATAGTTTGGGAGTAAGAGCTGGCAGTCAGCTTGATTTGGTCAGTTGAACAGTTGCGATCAAACCGGGCCTGTGGAAGCTTCAAGACGACAATTTGACAACCTTCTGTGTTTGAACCGGTCCTGTTGTGCTCAGTTCTAGCGCCTTATGTTTAGCATGAGACTCTTCTAGGGTAGCTTTGCATGATTTACAGCCAAAAATAATCTTTACTTGAGTTAAACTGAACCCTCACTTCATCTGCTATTTGAAGACAAACAGCTTCTATTTAAACCTTGCCGTTGTTTAAAGTCGTTTTGGCTTTTTGTGCATCTGTTAATTTTTGTAAGTGGCTGGCGAGGTCTTCAAACCAATTTCAGTGATAGAGTGAGTCCAGGACCTCTGTTGGATGTTTAAACAGCATATGGGTGAGGCTTCTGTCCTCGCAGCCAGCGGCATGAAGGATAGAGCGAGCAGTAACAAAACATATACATGAAGAACAGGCTGTTGCTGCAGTCTGGAGCCTCAGCATTTTGCTCACAGGGATTGCATGTACAAACTCTGACCTCATTTGAAAGTTTGGCCATGTTTAATAGAAGTATTCACCAGCATAATAACCCACTTTAATGCTTTGATCAGAAAATTACCAACAGCAGTCCAGACAGGGAGGGTTTTTTGTTTTTTTCTTTCAGTTTTCATCTTTCCATCTGGTTCTAATAAAGACAGGCAGCGAAAGAAATACAGAAACCAAGAGATTTTTCTCTCAGAGCAACTTCTACCTGACTCAAAGCTAGCATCAACGCAAACATCAAGGGCTTCAATAGGGTAAAGGATCGTCCAGCCAATCGCCATCCTGGTTAAGGCAGGATTGCACCACGGTGTGTGAGCCACTCTGGAGGGGGTTTAAGCAGTGTACGAGCAGAGGATTTGTATCCAGTGAACGGGGTTCCCCCTTCAGCTGTGCAGAAGTCCAGTGGGGTTAAACTGAGGGAAAGCTACACAGCTCTCTGTGTTGGCACGCTTGTTAAACTCAGGATCTCTCGGTTACAACAACCTGGCTCGTTTCTGAAGTGATCGTATCCCTGATAAATGTTAGTGACCCCCGAATTCATTTCCATCAGGCTTTAACGAGTGACACGTCACGGGCTCCTGAAGCTGGA